TCTCCGGAGAAGACTTATATTGGCTCTAGCCTGCTGTCTAATCCTATTGATTGTTTAATAAATAAAATATTCTGAAACGAAATGAAATATAATCGTAATAGGGTCGTAGTAGTTAGAAGAAAACGGGAGACCATAAGTTGGCTGAAAACGTTATTATAAGTACTAACTGACCTTTCGATAACGTTGAATTTATAAGTGTGCATACAGTTAATATACAGTGTGTTTAGATTATTTATCGACTCACGATACACATGCAGTTAAAAGGCAAAAGATTTATGGTAAAATTCATATCTTTTCCCATCTGCGTTACTTAACATAGATACATAACCGTTTTATCATTGTGATGTAATCTAAAATTCATTATGCATTCATCATACAGAACGTTTAAAGAATGTTTAATTGGCATTTGAACCAAATATAATAAGTATAACAGGCACGTGATGGTGAAATGGCTAAATATCATAGCTCATGCTCTGAAGTATGTTCTTTTTTTTAGTAGCAAGTTTTACCTATATATATTTCAAAATTTTATACTTATCTTCATTAATATTCATCATGCTTGCAAAACTAATAAACAATTGTTTACGATAAAATCATATAAGGATATATCATAATGAAGAATGAACAGTGTGGGGCGTTCCCCAACCCCTGGTTTTACATTCTGTGCATTTCCATTGTTAAGCTTTTGTATAATGTTCTACAATTGTCCATTATATCAAGTACATGTTTAATGACATATATTAAATAAATAATTCATAATTAGGGGAAAAAATCATATAAAGATGATATAGAAAAAATAACCGTGTGTGAAGTTTCATCTCTGAGTTACGTCTTGCTTGAAAATCGTTGTAATTAAATGATCACAATACGAAAAAAAAAGCAATAGTTTTCAATTTCACATGTTTCATTCTTTTCTCAAAAGGCACGATGGAAGGTGAGACTCATTTTCAGTTTGATGTTTAAGTTCAAACAAACATTTATTGCATACTACGCTCCAACGAATATTTGCTAAATAGGCTAAACGGGGACAAAGAAAAAAAACCATGAACATTACTTCAGATAATCATTGAGGAATTATAGTTATCTTTCATCTAGAAGACTCGAAATGTTGTCCATGGGTCAAAACAAAATACTGCATATTGTGTAAGAGAGAAGTGAGGTTATTATGTAATTACTATGAGTACAAACAGAAGAAATAAGTCAATATTTTCTAGCGGCTTTGTGTTTGTGTACGAGGACGAGATAAAATCGCAAAAAAAGGGATACCTTGAAAATATAATTCATAGTGGAATCAATGTGTCGTTTCAAGGCTTCGCGAAAAAAATCTGCTTCAGGCTTCTGGTAAAACCGTTAATTACAAGACCATTGAAAAACGCAGTTTACAAGTCCTTTGCTATACAAGTTGTAAAATTCCCTGATTAGTATGCAAAACTTAAGAAAATATGAAATACATGTGTTATATAATGGAAACATAACTAAAGGCATGCTGAACTAGTGATTTGTAAAATGTTCATAATCCCATTAAGAGGGAAAACTCGGGAAAACACATTTTAAGCTCTCTGTACATTTGTACACAGTAATTAAGATCTCTGAGCCTCTTTTGTACTTTTTATATATTATTAATATCAATATTTGCACTTTTCTAAAAGATGACAGACATTTTAATAACAATAATGACTCAGTCTGTTCAATAACAAATGCATATATCAGGAAATATTTCATTTCACGTTTGATAAAACAATTCCGGAAAAGCAAGAAGCTGTTTCCGTGTCTGTAATAATTCATCACTGTTACACACATCACGTACATTTGACCTCAAGAAATTTTCCTAGACAGTAATTAGTAGGTACGATTCTGACGGGGATTTCACAAGGTTTCCTATAGGGAAATGAATTAAAGAATATGATCAATGAGGGTATAAGTGTGCTGCTTCTTTTTACCCGGTTCCTGTTTAATGCATTTTATTAAAAAACATTGTGATTACAGTATTTTCACTGAACATATATGGTCTTTGTTTCAGATGGAAAGAAAAAGAAAGCTTAATAAATCAGATATGAAATGGATGGAAAACGCTATCAGGATGGAGCAAAATTAGACGTAAAAAGGTATTTTTTCATTTTACTTTTTTTAATATTGTTTTTTTTTTATTTATTTATTTATGATTATTGCAATCTTTATAAATTTATCATTGTTTTTAAAGATTGTATGAAATAAAAAGACTTATGAAAAGTACAAGGAGAATAAGACCATGTCTTTCTACAGGCTTTGACCTCGTTATGGAGTATGTATAACACATTTGTGAGTGAACACCTGTAATATATGTCGCCCCTCACTGACGTAGGTGTACAGATTTATTATTGCTTGGGGATATGTGTTGCGGTCAAATGAAATAAATGTATGAAGGCGATGCATTGTAAACTAGAAAAGCCCCTTGCTTATATGTATCTTATTGCCATAAAAATCATCTGCATATTTGAGAAATGTGATATAACACGAAAATCGTCTGTTGTGAGACGAAAATCTAATTTGTTTATTTTTTTCCAGTTGTATTATCATTTAGATGTTGGCATTGAGCAATTTATAAAGTATCATTTTCATTTGCGCTGCAAGGCCGCGTTGTAGCTAACAAGTTGATTGTTACCTCATTTCAAATTTGAAAAGTTATTTTGCTGGTGTATATCTCATTGTACACAAGACATAGAAATGTGACACGCCATCTAGTGTTACAGGACATTTGCCCACGAAAGTCAGAGATTACTCCAAATCTTGTATCCCCTTGGGGTGAGATAGGATACTCTCAACATTAAGTGTAAGTTGACAAACACGAGCCTTGCCGAGTTGTTACCAACATGATAATCTTTTCCTGGGGGTTATGATTACCCTATTCAAAATTCAGGGTGCATATGAGATTATCTTTGTGTTATCATACATGTACTGGTAATGCTATCTAAATAAGTGGTTCTAACGCGATATCAATACAGTGTTGCTGTGACGTCCTGAACAATAACAAAATCACAGTCAACGTATTTCTTTACATATCGCGTTACTTCCTCGTAATCAGTGAAATCATACCCCTAAAATAAATGTTGGTTTCGTCACGTGTGTAATATCACCATGCAAATTTTTGATTTTTTCCAATATTTCTATTGTTACACGAAAGCTCAATGGCGTCAGATATATATTGTGGCGGCCCCAAGTTAAAAGGTATAGAGTCAGATTTTACATCAGTCTGACTATACGTTGTTTAAACAAATATTTGCAAAGTTCTGTGATAAACAAAGCCTCGCAATCGTTTCCATGTGAGACTCCTTACGATTTTTTTTACCTTACCTCATAAATGGCTCGGCAATATGAGATTTGTTTGGTCCTAAATCTCATATGAGTGGAATCATATATATAGAAACCAAGAAAACCACAACGACGATGTAAAGAACTCGATTTATTGACATGGATAATTAAATATTCAATGACATTTATGATAATTTGATAATATATATACATGACAAAAGTAATGATTAATAGTTGCGGAAACAACAAAAGAATAAATAATTAAAAAAAAAAAAAAAAAAAACTCGCACACACACTCATTCACACTTAACTTTCCCATCATTATGACATATTTCGTAATCTAGTAATTTGCCGTAGGTATAGTGTGATTCAGTTCTGTTTACTTAACTGCACGTGTTACAAACGTTACAAACTTAAACAATTTGAAGACACAGATGACCTTGGCAAATTATTTATGGTTCAGGAGTTTTGTTTTTTCTGTTTGTCACGAGAATTATCATCCTCGTTCCCAGGAGATATTATGTCAGTGTGACCTCACATGGGAGCGAGAATAGATTAAGAAAGTAGTTAAAGAACGCATTACATATCTACAGTTAATGCATTAATGAAATCGATGACAATAAAAATAACTGTTTTTAGATTTGTCAAATGACTTTCCGTGATCAATAAATATGACCGATCAATCATGTATACGATAACATTACGTAGATTTAAATTGATAGACATGAAAGTGCGTTGCATAAATTCTTCCTTGGTTTCAAACATGAATAATTTCATTAATTTTAATTAATACATCCTGTCTAGTGTTGTACGTAAATGTCATCAATGATTTCTGCGAAATATACATAATACAATGTATATTACGTTGTTCACACATTCACACATTCCAATATTAGAACAAGGTTTACTCGGATGAGATCAAGTGTGGCTTATTTTGGATTTACAGATAACGTTATAATATTGTCCATACTCACGTGGACACGTTTGATCATAGCATTGTTAGCTTACCAAATAACTTCCAGGGATAGTTCACGTAATACCTCGAGAAAATCAAACTCATAACGAAAAGTATAATACATACTGGGTGAGTAAAAATTGTTTTAAAAAATTATTTTTTACTCTTTCTTTCTTTTTTGGTATTCTGATTTTTTAAAAATATTCTTCCTTAAGCCAGTCCTGTTTAAGAACTGAAAATATTTCATGAACATCATGATATGGATACTGGACAATACTACATAACACTTTCATTTCTTCGCGTTTACAGATATAAACATAGACATAAGAACTAAAGCTGTTGTAAGCATAACATGAAGAAACTAACCAACCATGAATATTAAAACACAAGCGATTTTCAGAAGTCGGTATTCTCAGCTCTTCCATACAAATACCTAAACAGGGAAAACGTGAAAATGAACGTTATATATCATACACAGACATTAGAAAAACATCGTACAATATCAATGTAGCCGTGGATTTCAAATAACAATTAACATCAACTCTTCCTTGTCTCAGAGCTTTGAGAACAGTTGTTTTAAATCTGACCTGAACAATGCCCTGTATTGTGGTAATCCAAGGGGAGTTCCAGTCTGTTTCACAACCTTCTCTTGCCAAAAGGATGCTAGTCATGGACCATCTAAGGTAGTATTTGACACAAAATGGTTGAAGTCGAGTTCTGAACTTATCTGAACAGTTTTGGCGACTTTTGTACCAGACTATATATTGGTTGGTGGTACTGTAGCTGTCGTCATCGCTTGATTTGTCTCCAAAAGATCGATCTGAATATCAGGACTAAGTGTTAAGTGGGTTGAAATGCACCTGCGATGGAAAGCGAAAGACCTTCCTGTCAGTGATCCCCATTGGTCCATAATGTGATATGTATCTTTGTTGTCAATCTTCACACTGTCTACATCTGTGTTTCCTTCGTCCACGTACATGGAGCGAATCGTAGCAAAGGGGTGCGTGAACCGATCTTGCATAAAATCGATATCACTTACAAATAATTGGGTCTCTTCGTTTGTGCTGTTTAAACTCATTTTGACAGAACTACCGTCTTCGTAGTAAACTTTCATCTGCCAGCGTTCAGGAATGATATCTACTTGTGTTATAACAGTATATGGTCTCACTCGGTCGGCTTTTGTCTGGCCAATAATTACTGAGGTTCCGAATGGAATCCAGTCGGTTCCATCCGGGGCTGTCGGGAGGAGTCGTACATTGCCGTCATTGTAAAGGACAAAAACTTGAGCATATCCGTTGTTCCACGGAATTGGCCGGTAAATACGGATAAATGTTATATTTTCTGCTATTCCGCCATTACTTAGACGCACCGTCATTGTTTTTGGCGCGAGCCAGGAGAGTTGAACATTCACTGCTTCAATGATGACGTCATCGCTTCTATAAATAGTCGAAACTTCATCTGGCACCATTGGTCGTTTAAGTAATTGAAGATAATCTACCTCAAACTTGATAATGACATCGGCTTCCATAGAAAGTACAATATAATTATCTGTGTCTTCTATCCAGGTGAAGTCTGGAATTGTCCACATTTGTTCCAAGGTATGTTGATCAAATGTCCTCACAGAAGGTTCAGACAAACGACCAGTATTGTCCCGGTACTGCATCATTACTGTAACCGGTACATTCAAATTCTTAAACCTCAAATATAATTCGTTTCCAATTTTCGAATCAATACTCCCTTCCTTTTCACCTTCCAGTTTAAACGAAGCAATAACAGCGATAGATTTTCTTGAATTGAATTGATTCGAAATAAACATTAGACTGGAATTTTGGCCTCGTATATCAGCGGTGTCAGAACTGGCTGTAAAGTCTGAGAATCGCCATAGTTGTGGCGGTAGATGGGGGCAGTTTGTAAGGTTGTCATGACGACGGTTAGCGAATGACTTGTACTGTGGAAGAGTGGCTGTAATGAGGAATTGACTTACTGCAGGATTGTACATCGGGACGTTGACGTTGTCTACTTCTGCACACTTGGTGTCGAAAGACTGTTGAGTTATGACGGCACTTTCGGTATTCGATGTTAAAGTAGGTCGCCTCACCCCAAAGTTCGCCTCCGGTATACACATGATAGTGCATTGAAGAATCTCCAAATTCATTCTTTCGTCATCAATATCAAATTCGATGTTATCAACCGATATGTTGGCCGACCCTGGTCTGACATCAACCTTTAAAACGTGCCATCCAGCATCAAAGGTATAAACCCGGGGAAACTTGCCAGTGTTGATGAAATCTTCTCGTCCACCTCGAGGCGGAGAGTAATACGTACCTAGCCAATAACCGTGATCTAGGTTTACAGTGAATAAAGCATTGGAATTATCACTAGAAAACCGGAAGTTGTTCAAACGAACGGTCGTCTTTTCCCGAATGCAGAAGTTTATAGATAGCGGTTCTATTTCAGTCACCATCAGAGCATTTCCATTGGAGGCGTTTGCCAAATTCAGAACCACATGATTTTCCCTTGTTCTTGAATTATCGGCTTGAAGAATGAAAGTTTTTGTAAACACGAGGGGAACAAACATCGTAAAAAGAAGTAATATCAGTTTCTTGCCTTCCATCATATACTTGTGCTGGGTTTAACAAGGTACCGCTGACGTGTAACGGTTGAGAAGTATGGCTCACTTTTCTGTTTATGCACCTTGTAATTGTGCGTTCAATCTTGCTCCTGGAATTCAAAGCTCGTCTCTTTTATACCTATAAATATAAAAAGTGGTTAATTAGATACAATTTACTCTGACTTGTGACAACGTGTGTCTGTTTACAAATAGGATGATACATCAAAGTCACGATATACCACATACATATAGAATAGCTAGGTAGACTATAGTGATGGATGAGTTCAAATATAAATCTATTATACTGTATATATTAATCATTTTACCCGGTTTCATGATTGTGCAATAACAGTGTGTCCTTTTAATGCAACTTATCATCCATTTGTCTTGTATTATATACATGAATCATACGTTAGTAATAATGATAATTAAAGTGCATGATGTACATTAATTAATTTGCATAGAATTTATGAAACACGAAATAACTAATAAAAAAATTCTAGTAGGTGGTTTGGAGCACGAAAAGTATGAAAGCGTTAATTAATCATATAAATATATTTATGCCAGAGATGGTTCATACAATTAGAAATCTAATACAAGGAATCATGACTTACCTGTGTTCACGAACAGGTCTTCAACTTCCTGGACAGGTAAAAACTTAGTGTTGATGAGTAGTGGGTTGATATTTACAAGCAAGCGTTAATGTGTAATCTAAGGTAATATCACTGCCTCAGCTTTCCTTGTCTTATAAACCATTTGCCACACTCCATTGCTTATTATATAGGTAATATTCATAGTTCTAGCCAATAAGGTTGGTTAGTCGTGATTTTTATCAATCAACTTTGATGATACGCTTACGTTACAAAGAGTAATGATGCTGTGTTTCAAAGTAATTTACATATTGATGGACACATTCAACAGCCAATCAGATTCCCGAATGGTTCGTCTCTCGTCATTCCCTTTTAACAGCGTCATAACATTACTACGCACAAGCTGATCAATTATGGTTTCAGAAGCATCTCTGCTCGTTCATCAACAATGGGACCGGTTACCAGCATCAATACCAGCAAATTAAATCTCTATTTAAAATCGTTCAGATTCTAACCGGAAATCCTCACGGGTCGTGATAATACTTGTCAGATCTGTAAATATGTGATTCAGCGTTTTTCTACAACAACAAAGGTCAACAAAGGAAGTCGGTTTCCATGATCGATATTTTCCGACATGACGCAAAGTTTCTGTGGTTTCAACCAACGTAAAGCTGTACTTTTAAAATGTTGTATTTAATCATTCATAGAAATGTTTACGTTAAATCCAGGTAATTATTTCCTGTCCATCTGGACGAGATTACATACAAACACACTATAGTGTATTTCAATAGAGATCGCCTGCTCGTTGGATATATATTTTTTTAAACCATAATCTAAGATGCGCATGCACGTTGTGATTTCTTTTCAATTAAAACGATACACCTGGAAATATAAACTCCAGTTCTATGTGGAATTATATTTTTCACATAAATTTACATTACAAAAACACAAAAATGATTTTCTGAAATATTTGATTTTAAAATATATTTCACATCTTCTCCTGAATGCTTTAACCCATTCTTTAAAAGATACAGTGTATGTCTATATATGACTAATGATGGAATTTGTTGCAATTTTTGTTATATTTCTTTAATCTAATATCACTTATCAAACAACGTAAACATAGCACTCCTATAATTTAGGATGTTAATGATATCTGAACTTGTAAAGGCATGGCACGCTGATATTTGTTATACATATATACCTCTAACATAGAACAGGAGACAAACTTTTACATGAAACATTTTTTAACATACCAAGGTTCTCGTTACCCGTTCTACCTCTAATTTATAATTTGTACAGCAAATTATTGTGAAATATGATAAATAGGTTATATTGCAATATTGATTTTTCGTATGATCTAATCTTCGCGGACTTAGCAAGTAGTTGAAACAGTAGAGATCAATTTTCACAGAAGTTATGGAACGGCCTTTTGGACTCTCTAATGCTTTTATATTCATTGTACTTTTTTCGTGATTATACTTTATCCGTTAGATAAACTCTCAACATATATAGAAGTAAAATAGTTACGTTGAATAAAGATGTAAATGTAGGGGAAAATATCACATCACAAACAACAAGGAAAATACTAACAAGACAACAAAATCATAAACAAACCTCAAAGTCAATAACATTGGGCAAAATGAGAACAAAATAAATATTTATACGGAGACTCCTGAAAAAGTTGAAAGAGAATAAGACCAGGTTTTCCGGAAGAGTAAGTGTTCTCTGCTTTATCGAAGACATCCCAACTAAGTAATGTCATATTGGCAAACGAGAAGGAATACGATGACAGATTATACCCACGATCATCACAAGGAAATAAAAATATTTCTCAACGAGATCATTATAAGAAATTTATTTTAATGCAATTCACATTGGAGATAAAACAGCAAGCAAGGAACTATCTACCAAATGGTAAGACAACATAAACATGCAAAAGAATTCGGATTCGAAACCAGATAAACAAACACACAAAAACCAGGTTTAAAATTCATCCACAGAGAGAGTACTTATCATAAATGTAAAATTTAATTTATAATTTGAAATGATAATTTTCCTGTTAATTGATCGAATAATTAAATAATTTTCAATTTAATTTTTCCGAAATTAATCGAAAATAAATACCTATATTGCTTTAAGTAGCAGTATGATACAATAACACGTTTTCGCTACTCACCATTTCAATCGAAAATACGTAAAATTATTGTCGCTGTTTAAACTGCCATAAACAAAGAAACAATTTCATTGATTATCAGTATTTTATTGCATTTTGCATAATACATAACAAGACATTCCTCCTCCTCCTCCTCATTATCATCATCATCAGCAGCAGCAGCAGTAGCAGCAGCATCAGCATCAGCATCAGCATCATCATCAGCATCATCATCATCATCATCATCATCATCATCATCATCAACAACAACAACAACAACAACAACATTACCAATGAATGAATATCATCATACAATCATCATCTTTTTAATCATGCGACAACCAGTTGTCTTTTTGCTGAGTGCATATTCTATAAATATTTCAGGTCCATAGTTCTCGTCATGTCTTCCAGCAGAGCAGGTAATAATGGGGATCCCGAGGGGCCCTCTACCAATGTTCCCAATAACCCAGCCACTGATACCACCGCACACGTGGCCTGTATCAATCTTTTACCAAGGCCTGGCCAACCCCTTGCTTGATTTGATTGCACTTCCGTTGACTTCCGTTTGTCTTTGTTTCTCTGTCTGTCTTTTCCATCTGATATAAGGCTCTTCAATCGACCCCTTTTCCCTGTTGAGATGCATGTGTCCGAGCGACAGGGGCGAGCAAGCAAACTTTCAATACTTTGCCTGCTTTGTTCTTCATCTTGTTCACTTTCCTGTTTGATCCTCTTATCAGGTCCATTTTTCTTTCCAGCAGAATTACTGAATTGATATTTTTCTGTTTTATTGCATTCAGAATTGGAATTTATTTCTTTTTTGTTACCAGGTGATTTCAACGTGTTTCCGTCAGATGATTCCTCCGAGCTACGCCCACAAACAGGTGCCGTTTCCAATTCCTTACCACCATCATCAACTTCTGATTGGACCGGTCCTTGGCCATCAGCTGCTGATTGGTCCGGTCTTTGGCCATCAGCCGCTGATTGGACCGGTCCTTGGCCATCAGCCTCTGATTGAACCGGAACTTGGCCATCAGCCTCTGATTGTTCCGGTCCTTGGCCTTCAGCCTCTGATTGGTCCGGTCCTTGGCCATCAGCCTCTGATTGGTTCGGTCCTTGGCCATCAGCCTCTGATTGGACCGGTCCTTGGCCATCAGCCTCTGATTGGACCGGTCCTTGGCCATCAGCCTCTGATTGGACCGGTCCTTGGCCATCAGCCTCTGATTGGTTCGGTCCTTGGCCATCAGCCTCTGATTGGACCGGTCCTTGGCCATCAGCCTCTGATTGGTCCGGTCTTTGATCATCAGCCTCTGATTGGTCCGGTCCTTGACCATCAGCCTCTGATTGGTCCGGTCTTTGGCCTTCAGCCACTGATTGGTCCGGTCCGTGATAATCAGCCTCTGATTGGTCCGGTCCTTGGCCATCAGCCTCTGATTGGTCCGGTCCTTGGCCATCAGCCTCTGATTGGTCCGGTCCTTGGCCATCAGCCTCTGATTGGTCCGGTCTTTGACCATCAGCCTCTGATTGGACCGGAACTTGATCATCAGCCTCTAATTGGTCCGGTCCTTGGCCATCAGCCTCTGATTGGTCCGGTCTTTGGCCTTCAGCCTCTAATTGGTCCGGTCCTTGATCATCAGACTCTGATTGGTCTGGTCCTTGGCCATCAGCCTCTGATTGGTCCGGTCTTTGACCATCAGCCTCTGATTGGACCGGAACTTGATCATTAGCCTCTAATTGGTTCGGTCCTTGATCATCAGCCTCTGATTGGTCCGGTCTTTGACCATCAGCCTCTGATTGGACTGGAACTTGATCATCAGCCTCTAATTGGTCCGGTCCTTGACCATCAGCCTCTAATTGGTCCGGTCCTTGATCATCAGCCTCTAATTGGTCCGGTCCTTGATCATCAGCCTCTAATTGGTCCGGTCCTTGACCATCAGCCTCTGATTGGTCCGGTCCTTGGCTATCAGCCTCTGATTGGTCCGGTGCTTGGCCATCAGCCTCTGATTGGTCCGGTCCTTGGCCATCAGCCTCTGATTGGACCGGACGTAACATGTTCTCGTCTTCGACATCTCCTGATATGCCAATATCACTATTAGTGTTAGTGGTGCTGGCGTCTCCAACAGAAGGCACACTGTTGGATTTGGCGCCATTTCTGTCATGAGACTCACTTGAACTCAGTTCATCGATATCACTCACAAAACGGGAGAGGGCCGAAAAGTACTCAGCCAGATCATCCAAAGATACTTCTGTGCCAACATTTT